AGTAAAGCAATAAATTTGTTTTTTAAAAAGTTCGGTTTCTTTTTGGACAGTCCTCGTATGGCTGAGCAGGTGCTTCAATAAAAACCATTCCATCTACATTAAACAATGTATGCACTGTGTATCCATTAAAAGAAGGTGATTTTGTTTTTGCTCTACTGTATTGTTTTCATATTCTATTCATAATAAATACAGTATACTGTACAGAATACCATATACTGTACAGTACTGTATTACTGTACTATTAAGGTTAATTATAAGTAATTAATTGTTGATGCACATGTAACTACACTCCCAATATCTGATATCTAAAGATTACTATTACTTTTCTAACGCTTTAATTCCCTGGGAGCATTGCAATTTGTTGACGAGAAGTTCTGAGTACTTGCCAACATAATTATGTTTAATAACTTTTATTCCTCACATCGCTTAGTATAAATGAGTAAACCTTTTCACATATACAGTATCAATAAAACATGATTCCAATACTGACAGGAGCCAGTTATGCTCAGTAATGTACTGCCAACATGCATAAAGAGAATGACCGACTGTTCAAACGGCTAACGAGCTGCATTGGGGTGGAAGAGAAGTCACCCCATGGCACCATTTCACCCATAAAATTTTAGTTCTCTTGGTGTATTTCATGATTATTTTCTTTAAATCAACACTACACTGCATTATATATTGTCAATATGTAAAACATATTTCAAAGTGACCAATAATTTGCTTGGAAACACAGAAAAAAAGCGTTTAGTTGAAGAGAGTCTCAAGCAAGATGTTACCTCCAGTGAAAACAGAGAGAGACTAACGCCTGTTTGCTGTGTTAAGAGGCTGGATGCCGCGCATTAAACTCGTCACTTTACCTTCAATTATGTTCAATAATTGTTAAAATGACTAAAAAATTGAATATTCAACTTTTAAAATTATTGAATAGTATAAACTTCTTGATATTTACTAAAATAGTTAGGAATTAAAGCCCTAGAACCGATTAATGTATTGGCGGACTGATACTAAAGCTGGTTGCCCGGCCAGTGCAAGCGAAAACATGTTGAGGTCGGTTCATAAGAAATTCGTTAACCGAATTTTTGTTCGTTAACCGAATTGAAGATCCTTATGGAAGACAGGCAGATATATAACATATATTAACGAGGATACTGTACATGTACAGTTTTCTTTTTTAAGGCCCACAATCCTGGAATTCGGTGGTCATAATTATATTGTAGTTGCATATTTACATCATGCCAGTCAAATGAAAGACTCTGTAGTGGTTTTCTCCCCTACAAACGCTGTTTGTCGCTGAGTAGCCGACCCCACCAATTCCCCAGTGTATGCCTCGTGGTCTAGGTCAACCAGCGCCGCCAAACAACACATACCCCACAACTCTCTCCTTAGAACAAAGCCTGAATAATCGTGCATTGCATTTAATTAAAATATATCATACCTCTTACACATAACTGCAAATAGATACTGGTACAGGTGTATAAAGAACTAATGAAAACTGGAGGGGAGGCACCATTAAAAAAGGAGGGGGGGGGGGGCACGGCCCTCTGGTGCCCATCCATGAGAACATCCCTGACTGTTACCCAATCTGTCACCACAGCAGCAGGTCACAGGGCACATACATGTTAGGGCGTTGGATGAAAATGCTCTCACCTGACTGACAAATGACACCTTTGAGTACCATCTTTTTAGGGGCTACAGTTGAATCAGTATTTCAGGAAATTAGCTAGTTCAAGTCATGCATGTTTGTGATTTTTGGAAAGCCCATACATTAGTTAACTGTGGGAGGACTTTTGCTGGCAACTGCACACAAAATAATATACAGGCATACCCCGAACTTTCGTTGATACCATAGAGATCTGATGATCGTGAGAGGAGCGGCAGAGCTCTTTTAATTTGGCGGGCGGTGGCATGGCGCAAATTCTTGACACAAGAGAATTCTGCGTGCTGCTTCTGACTCATTCCCACTTATCTGCACTTGCTTACACTTATCACATGTCTTCAACTTCGTGTTTTTTAGTTATTTCCGACTTCGTGTTATGCAATCATGCCTAAACGTCCCAGTGATCGTTCCTCTTATGCTAGGAGCAGCTTCATGTGATATGATAAGGTGTAATAAAAGTGATGATGGACCAGCAAAGATTGGTAAAGACTTGTTTTTGTTATTTCTAACTTAGTGTGGCCGGTTCCCAACCTTCTGAATTTGTTATATTCTTATAGGATTAATTGCTTCGATAATCGCTGATTCACTAACCAACGACTTATCAAGGTCTCTATATGCGTCAGTTATCGAGGTATGCCCGTATACTGTATCAGTAAATGTGAGGAATAAATATAAATAATATTATACAGTACTAATAAATAAAATAAAATAAAAATACTGAATCGGCATTTGGCAACCATTTTACTACACACGAGACAGCGAACTGCTGAGATCCCACGCGATTCCTCCCCTACCCCGCTCTGTGTGCTAATTCTGGCACACAAAAAATGTTTATTCCCGTTATGTTTTTGACCTTATGATGATTATTTTTCTTTTTACACATTCTGTATTGTGTGCGCATGTAACAAAGTAAAAAATTTAAGAAAATTACGCATATCTACCTAAAATCATGAGTTGAAAATAACCTTAACATAATGCTGGCGTCCTCTCTCTCGCACTGGTTCCATGTATATCTCCTAGGCATTTGTGCTGGTAAAGTTTTTCTTTACTGGCACTAAGAGAAAAATCATTGGCAGTACTGTACTTGTGGTGGTGAGTGAGAAAAAATAAAAGCATATACAGTACTGTACTGTATGAACTTTGGAAGAAAATGTCAAGATATTGGACTTACTATGGGGTGGCATATCCAACTCTGAAGTTGTGCTTCAGTTACCTTAATATAAAAAAGGGGTTACATGTATACATACAGGGGACCCAAATTTGCACTTACATGGGGATCCCAGGAATGTAACCCTCACGTACTCTGAGACCACGCTGTACAGGGTCCCCAACCTACGAACGCCCGCCGATACAACGGGGTTAAACTTGAAATTTACAGTATTTTATTGAACTGATGACTTATTTTTTACTTTCATTTACTGTATTTTGTCAATCTATTTCTTCTTTTCTCTTAAATTAAGTGACTTTAGGACTTAGACTATGATATAGTGGGATTTTAAACATTGTTCAGTAAGTATGGTATGTACACACAGTAAAAAAAAAAAGTACCGCATGGATTATGTGCGAAACAATATGACACCACAGATAAGGGACAGTGGAATATGCGTATTGGTCCTGTATTATGGTGGTAGCCCTGCTGTCCTTGCCTGAGGGTGTCCTTACATATCTGTTGCTAACGACATATCCTGCCGTATATATATGCAGTAGTTGATGGTATAACTGAACATGAACACTTCAGGTGATGTATGGATCATTACGAAGGTCAGCAGACCTCCCTGTGCAACACTTTTTTACTGTGTCATATCATGTGTTCCGACTTACGTACAAATCCGATTTAAGAACGTCCTCACGAAAGGAACCCGTTTTTAACCCGAGGACCCCCTGTACTGTAATAATGTACAATGATCTACTGTGATTTAAAAATAAAGAAATAATAATATAAAACTATAAAATAAGAAAGATAGGGAGTGAGAAGTTAATTCAGTGTGGGTGAGTAGGTAGGAAAGGTGGGTTGCTGGCTGGACTGAGAGGAAAATTTCTCCTTCCGGTCCCACAACCCCTTTAAAACAACAATATGCAATTTCACCATTCAGTAATTCCCATATTATTTAGGTTCATTTGGTGCTGGGCTGAAAAAATATTATTGTAAATTAATCAGTTTTCCCCCTCCAAAAAGATCCTATACTTAACCCCAAATGACTAGCCAACTGACCAGCCAGGGAGGGAGCTGTTTATGATTACATAAACAGTACTACAGTATAGAACTAATTTTTGTTCACAATTTATATGTTACTTTTTTGTGTGTATTATGTACGATATTTAGTTTTTAATATAGTCTTGAGTTACCAAATTATATTTTATATACCAAATCCTCTACTGAACCCCTCTTCAAATATCTCAAATACTGTATTCAAATATAGTACAGTACAGTATTATGATACAATGCTATAATGCAGTGGTTCCAAAACTTTTTCTCTTGACCAAACTTTTAAACAACTTTACACCTTGTCCTGGGACAGTATTTATATTATTATCAAGATCAACTAACTCGTAATTATTTTATCCATGTATCTCGTGCATATGGGGAAGATTGAAATACTGTACAGTATACTGTACTACTAAAAAATTATTGTTACACAAATATATTGAAAATTTTTTGATAAAGAAAAAGACATTAGCTTCATAGCTATAAGTTTTTCACATTGCCCCCCACCCCCTACTGTACCAACCTCTGCCCCCCGGTTTGGGAATCTTTGCTCTACAGTCGACCCTCGTTAATTCGGACCCCTTTAATCCGGATTTTGGATAAATCGGACGAAATCTGAACTGTCCATATCAAATTTCTGGTTCTGGGATTGTCCCAGTTGCAATTTCAAATTCTGTCACAACTAAGAAATAACAAAGTCCCTGGTGCATTCTAAGATTAAGAGAAAACGGACGACTCAGGCGTCCTGAAGTGAGAGAAAACGGACTCCTATGATGGGGCACTCAAATAAACATACACATAGCTGTATAATGCAATATTAACCCCTAAATCGGTTAATTCGGACAATCAGCTAAAACGGACACCCTTCCCCCCCTATTAGTCCGTTTTAACGAGGGTCGACTAATGTGACTTAGAAATATATAAAATATAACATACAACTACAGTATGTAATTTCACCACGATTCCCATATTATTTTGGCTCACTTGGTGGTAGTTTAATAAAAAAGCCGTTTTTTTTTCTAAAAAAAAGTTTTTGTGATATAGCTCGAATGCAACGATCAGCAATGCTACCTAGGTATGTTAATTCCTAGCCAATTCACCAGGCCAACATACAGGCAATTAAAACATCTAATAATTGCTTAATAAGTAATATTAGGAGGACACGTCATAATAATACAGGTACAGTATAATAAAAAAAACCCACATAACCCAAGATAAGTTATCAAACCCCACTAAACCCAAGGTAAGTTATCATGCCATATCATGTATTAAATTCTTGGTGATCTGTTAACATAGATGTACAGCTGACCAGCAAGGGAAGGAGCTGTGTATGTAAAATATAATTACTTCTTGGATAATATTTTTGTGTTACTGTATTTCTTGATGAACTGTATGTGTGATATTTAGTTACCAAACTACATTAATATAACAATAAAATCCAGTATTATGGCAATTTATCTGGACTAGAAATACAGGATTCATATAATACCGAAAACTTTTCTTTACCTAACTGGCTCCTCACCAATTATTTCAGTATAGAGAGGTAATAGCTACTGTACTGTATTTAGCAATAAACCATATGCCTTTTTGACATGGTTAATGAGAGAGCAATTAATGGATGGACTTTCCTGCAGGCCACTCAGTACAATCCATTGGTCATAGATATTACTGTTTACATAACCATATAATGAATATAATTTTATATCATTCGACTATTAGTAAGGTAATTGTGTGGATAAAATTCCTTAGAGAGTGATGGCTTTTGCAGATTAATTTTCTGTGACTGCAGCAGTCTCTCTTTGTATAAGAACTGTAATTCCATTATCAAGTATCCCTGAAAAATAAGAAATACAATATATTAAAGCAATTACTGTAAACGCCATTTTATACCTGAGGGTATGAGATGATATTCTGTTAATTTGAGCACTACTAGGAAAAGCCTACTATGCACAGGGAGCTCTGACTTGTCTTGTGGCAGGCTCTTATGATATGAACAAAAGTACTGTAAATGGCTACAGAACAGCTCCTTGCCCTCTAAACCAAGGTTGAATGAAAGCTTCACACATATTGCTCAATGGTTGTATAAAATAAGTAATAATTCAAGTTCATTGGGAGAAACTACATACTTGGTAGGTTCAATTGCAACTTGGAAACCTGAACAGCCATAAAAAGTGATTTCATACTCTGATGTGCATTTTTCAGCTGATAAGGAATCCCACAAAGGTGGGAGGGAGGGGAAACCAAGTGACGTGTTCATGGCCATTTCTAAATTAAAGTTTGAAGTATGAATTCCCATTTTAAGACAGATGGGAAGAAGTAAGTACAGTTGGGTCTCACATTACGCGGTTAATGTAACCCGGAGGGTACCGCGGAAAGTGAGGAACGCGTAAAGTGAACAACATAACATATGGGATTAATTGAAATGGAGTCCAGGCCGATCCCCAAACTCCACTTTTTGACGACACACAACTATGTTGTAGTAAAAATATTATCTTAACTTTATGATGGCATGCACACACAATTAATAATTAAGAGAAATATCAATAATATTAGGTTTTTTAACACTTACATTAGTAGAAAAGATGGCTGGGCACACGGGGATGGGCGGTTGGTTCCGAGGCAGAGGGCAGATTATTGGCCCTCACCTGTATCACTTGTATCAATTGTATCACTATCCACCACAGAGGCTTGCAGGGCCTCTTTGTCAAACCCCCCAAAGTTCATATAAGTCCATATCCTCACTATAATTATCACTATCACTGACTTGGGCCGGCTGTAGTGGGTGGCGGGTGAAGAACTGGTAATGTTTTGATGACTGGGCGACCTTGTGCGCACCATTTTCGCGCCTCTTACACAACATGGCGGATGGCGGGAGGTTTGGATCCAAAAATGGCGCGGCTTGCCAGCCGCTCTCCGCGTAATGGGGTTCACGACCGCGGAATGTGAGCATGTTAGGTTCCGGCAGGGCACCGCGTTAACGGTGAACCGCGGAATGCGGGACCGCGTAATGTGAGGGTTGACTGTAACCTATAAGACTGCTATCACTAATCTCCCAGTGACCACTAAACATAACCTGTTAATGAATATGATGTATTTCTTTGTGTATGAACCTCTGTCCTGCATGGCAGTGAGAAGTGATACCACCCTCAGTGTCAAGACCTGACTGAATTACTCAGAATAGGCAAACTGTACTCCAAGCTTTGTCAATAAATTTGTTAAACTAAAACTAAACCTATGAGCCACTTCCTGAGACATCCAGTAACTCTCTCATTTCATTCTTCCATTTTTTCCATTCACTTTCTTTATCCTAATCTCCATCTCTAAATTATACTGTACGTACTGTACATGCTTTTCACAAATCTTTCAAATTCATTCTACTGATATATATTCTACTGTAACTTTGTCCTACAATGCTGAAACCTCAATATCTCCTCCTGATAGCAATGTTCTAATTCGCTGCATCTTAACCACCCAACATATTGTTTTCAAGCACATAATTTCTATCTTGCATCCTGAATCTATGCTTCACATCTGTACAATATTGTTTGGGCTACTAATTCCCTATAAGCCCTCATCTTTGTCTTCTGTTATACAGTTTCCTCTCACCATGCATCTGTCAATGGAATTATTACTTACTTTCCCTTAGCTATTTTAAATAGTACGCGTGTAATTTCCAGTTACGGTAGTACTGTAATATATGATAATTCCATTTATTTATTTCCGTGTTCACCGGCAATAACATGTGCTTTTTCTCTGTCTACCTTTTTCTAATTACCAGTATATAAACTAATAACTTTTTCCTATTACTTACTATTTCAAGCTTCATCACTAAGTTAGTAATACTGGATATCACTTCCCATTCAGGTACAGGTATATCTTTTATCACAGTTCAAAAAATTTTGTCTCTTTTGCCACTCTTACTTTCACCTATCATAGGAAATACCTAATTCGTGACAATAACGAATAATCTCGATAACATTACAATTACAGGGGGTACACGACACTCACCAAAAACCATTCCCTATCTTTCCAACTCATTCTAACATGTGCTATGTATTTTCTCACCTTCAGAGCTTGAATGCCATTAATGGGGCAGGTTATTGGTGATACTTTCCCAGGCAGTGTCATAGAGATCTAAAAAAAAAAAAAAAAAGAAAGAAAAAACGAAAAGAAAGATAAATAATGTACATAAAATCAAACAAATAAACATTCAGTGGTCCCTCGGTTAACGAACACAATTCGTTCCAGAAGGTCGTTCGTTAACCGAAACCATTGTTTCAATGGGATACTGTATTGGGTAATTGGTTCCAGCTCATCGAAAATTACATACAAAGTAAAAAAAAAAAGTGCAGTAAAGTACACTTACTTTGAGGTGTGTATGTAGAAGGCTCCTGGTTGATGATGATGATAGGAATTAGAAGTGGGGGTGGAGGAGAAGGGAGAAGAGAAGGAAGTGGGAGTGGAAGAGAAATCACCCCATGCTTGATGCCATCATTTCACCCATAAAATTTTAAGTTCACTAGGTGTAATTCAAGATTAATTTCTTTAAATCAACACTGCACTGCACTATATATAATAAATATGTTAAATAAATTTCAGAATGACCAAGAATTGTACTGTAAAAATACTCTGTGTTCAAGAGATCCACAAGCAAGATGTTTCCTCCACTGAACAGAGATACAAACTGAGGCCTTGGTGGGTGAGTGAAGTGGCTGATGGGTGCACCAAAAACTAGTTCCCTACAGTGCAATTATGTTAAAAAATTGTTAAAATTACTAAAAATTTTAATATAAAACTTGGAAAATTATTGAATAGTACAACCTTCTTGATATTTACTCCAATTTTAACGAGTGTAAGCCCTAGAACTGGTTTCTGTATTGGCAGACTAATCTTCCAGCTGGTGAGAAAGCCAAAGCATGTCGAAACATTTTCGTAAGAATTTCGTTGACCGAAATTTTCTTCGTTAACCGAAATAAAGATTCTTATGGAAGGTAATTTGTTAACCGAAATTTCGTTAACCGAGGCTTTCGTTAACCGAGGGACCACTGTATTCAAAAGATGAAAATATAAAAATTTATATTCACTTATATGAAACCTGAAATTCACACTTGGGAAATAAATCCACATAATAAACTGAAAACAAACACATTTGTCAATAACTCATAACCAATTAAAAAAGTGACCAGGATAATACAATAAGCCCTCCGCATTTGTGAGGATTATATTCCTGGAAACCGTCATGGATACAGAATTTATGAATGTGGATACTTTGATTCAATGGGAAAAGAGGGCTAGGTTCTCAGGCAGTAGTGAACATGCACATGGGACAAGACAGGGGAAAGCTGACAACCCTCACTCTACTCCCACCCTCCCCCACTTCGTGTGAAAACTCCAGTGCAGGGAAGAAATGTTTATTCCCATTGTTTTTCACCTTATAAAACTTATAGTTTTGCACATTTTTTTGCAAGATTGTGTGTGCATGTAACACAGTAAAAAAAATAAACAAATAAATAAATGGAAAAAAAAATGTAGTCTACCCCTGCTATGTGGTAACTCCCATGCACATAAGAAATGTTTATTCCCTTTATGTTTTTAACCTTATACTGGTAATAATATATATATATATATATAATTTTATCATTCTGTAGCTATGAAAGATTGCGTTCTTGTAACAGGGAAAAAAAATGAACACTACAAGTTGAAAAATAACCACACTGAGTGCGGAACCAATTTGAGGAGTTCCGAACCATAATCTGCTGCAGGGTAATTGTCAAAATAGAAAATGGAGGATAATGCTCAGGGAGGAATGTGTGACAAACAACAGTCTTTTCAGAGGACTCTCACCCACATGTATATGTTCCCAATTAGCTCTCTGACTTACCCAGGGGGCAGAGGAGAGGTTGGGGAATACTGTACAATGCAATACATAACGCATTTCAGTGACATATGGGTCTTAGCAAGTAATGGTCAGGAGCTCCTCATTTTCCCATACAAAGTTGCTGTGATTTTCAAAAACTATGCTGATGTTATGGTTAGTCAATTAGATATTTTAAATAGCATTAATAGATTGTAGAAAATAAAGGTTAAACCTCTCCATTTTATAATATAACCTTAAGGTTGGGCTGTGATGGTGGTAAACCATACCAAAACAAACCTTATGGTCACGACACTTAGTACAGGTAGTCCCCAACTTACGACCACATGGACTTACGTCCATTGGTACTTACGACCTGCTCTGACCGTACGTCCGTCGGGACATACGACTGTGACCATCGTGACCAAAAATATTTTCAAATGACGCGCGCATTTTCTAAACCGAAATGTCTCCATCCCGGGCGAGAGCGTGGCGCGTCTCGGGTCGCCTCGTGGGTACACTCGCCAGTTCATGTTGTATCTTGGATCTCAGTGTGTGAGAGGAAATCAGTCACCAAAAACAGTATTTCCTTTATTGTAGAGGAACATCAATTTTCACAGGTGGTTTTGGTGCCATCCTGACTAAACGTAAACGCAACATGGAATTTTGGGTACAAATGAGTGGTGCCTTGTGCACTATACAAAACATAAGTTATTACAACCACCGTTTAATTGCCTGCTCCGGTCTGTGTGTTTCTGGAGGTGAGGTGGGGGATGGGATGCATCCAGAAAAGTTACCGGTTAGGAATTTCGAGGCCGCTAGTTTGTGAGGTTTATAAGTGGTGTGGATTACAGTACACTAGAGTTCATCAGCTGAAGTACAATAACTGAATGACATTGTATTGCGTTGTTCTTTCATTAGTATATGTTTTTTGTCCACTTATTACGTACTGTGTTTTCATTACCTCAGACACATACACTTTATCACCACCAAAGTAATTATCATATAATTATCCTGGAAATTACAAGAGGAATCTAAATACTTGAACATTAGATTCATTCACATACACTAGAAATCAAAACCGTGACACTTACACACACACACATGTGCACAAAAAAAGTCAGGTCTACTGTATAGCTCAGGTAAGTCCTAATCCAGTTAACCTTTCTATAAAAAACAGAAAAACTACATACAGTATGTCATAAACACAGCAGGTAACCAGGTAAGAATTTTCATATAGAAATAATGAAACATTTTATGTTGTTTGCCTCCCCTCCCCCACAAAAATATGTTTTTAAGCCCCCCAAAAAGCGATTAAGATTGCCCTGATTATATTACAGTATCTGATATACTGACTTGATCTCTGAAGTCCCTGAACTATCAACACATCCAGTACTGACCAGTAAGACCCTGCCATAATTTTTACTCTCACATTAATACTTAAATTAATCCATCGCATCTGTGGCGAGTTACTGAGTGGATACGAAAGCTATCACAGACAGATGGAGAGACAGCATCAGTGCTATACTGTATATCTCCAAACTTTTGGTCTGGAATGAATGCTGTGAGAAAGAAATTTATCGTCCATCAACAAGGAACAACACTCCCAGTACAGTAAAACGAATGACTTTCTATCTTCACAAAACTAAGAAAAATTGGGTGTTCGATGCAACCTTAGAAAACGTGGAATACTGTACATAAAAAAAAAAAAAAAAAAAATACTGGTAAATTTTTACTTTAGGACATGAGTCCCTAGGGGTTGACTAAAATGTTTTTCCTGTGTATTTTGGTGTGTTTTAAACAAATGTGACCTTCATTTTGGGCGAAATTGATAGTTTTTGCCCCCAACCCCATCAATAACGGGGGGAGAGCCTGGGAAATTGGAGTTTTTTGGTGAGGGAGAAAACGAAAATGAGTCATCTGACCTAAGAAAACCTAACCTAACCTGACCCCTAGCCAGGGCTCCGGACACCCGGTAGGCCTAGTTTACTCTAACCTAAATGTTTCAGTAGTTAAAAACTTGGGGGAGTGTGAGAGGTTTGAATCATAGACCATGTTTTTTGTAGACTTTATTCTAACAGCGTCAGCTGGTGACTGGCAACCGGGCGCTGCCATAGACGAGCCCCCATCTCAACATGGGAAAACATATCGTACGATGGTACACTCTTACAGGGAATACCATGTCCGATAGTACAATACCTTAGTTAGAAGTGGAAGGACCAGGGATACTTAAGAATTGGAAAGAATGATCGTCTTTCTCGTAAAACTCGGCAATAAACTTGAAATAATCGTAGGAGCACAAACAACAACTAACCTCCACCACAGCCAATCGGCCATTGTGAGACTGGTCAATGAAATTACCCACGCTGCTTCCTTTGAAGAAAATCAAATGTGATTGGTCGAAAAAAATTAACGTGAAGATATCGATACCTCATTGGTCATGACTGGATGACGTCAATCAATATTGCACATGCATGATGTGCCGATAATATCTCACAGACGAAGACTGAAAACTACTTAAAATCCATTCAATTCAATTGTGTCGCTATTTATCCATTTCCGGCATGTATATATATGGCTCAGAATAGCGAAATCTAAATGTTTCAGAAGTTTATAACTTTCGGGGGCGCGATGTCCGAAAATAAAATACAGTAATACCAAAATGTTTTGATGTTCTTGAAACACAAGGAGGTGGTCAAATGCTCCTGAGGTGTTAGGACATTCCTGAGGCACGAGTGTGAGAACGCGCTCACACAACTAAAATGGGAGGAGAGACCCAACTCTAAAACATTGGTCTCTGAAGCTGAACTGAGACATGGTTAACACTCAAAATGTCAAGTGTAAGAAGTTATTAGTTGTAGGAATATAAAGTGGGGTAGTTTGGTAGCGTGGCCGGTTAGTTATTTAACTGTATATTATATTCGTAGGGGGAATCTTTCTAAACGCCACTTTTAAGATAACTATTTATTAATTAACTGAAGGGCATGGACACATTAATAGATCAATATATCGAAGTTACTAGACACTGACTCTCAGACACAAACATGAAATTGATAAACTTCCCATCGTAAGTAACTCGCCCTCGGATCGCTCCGACAAAGACTCACGTGTGATCCTGAAGGGAGTGCTGGACTATGTCTCCTGTGGGAGACTCTGCTAGCTGGAGACTCGGTGCTGGGAAGGGAAGTCTCCCTCTGGAGAGGAGCTGTCGGCTCCTTCCCTGTTACAATGATGATCCGAATGCTAATGTCTGCTGAGAGGGAGCTGCAGGGCCTTATAT